CTTTTAGCTTTTATTTGGGCATGTCCTCCATTTTGCGGTGCCTTAGTCTTCCTTGGAGGTGATGACATCTGAGATGATGATGATGATGATGGGGAGCCCTTTCTTTCCACTCTGGCCAGGGAGGCCCTTGGACTCTGCAATCCTGAGCTGTCAGCTCTGCCCACTTGGGAGGGTTTTTGGGGTGTGTGTTCCTGGGGTTGTGGGCTGACATGGTGTGAGTCTGTCTCTGTCTGTCTGTGCTCCCATGTCAAATAAACAGGCGGCGGTGTGTGTGTGTGTGAATGTGTCGGTGTGTATTTTGGGGCCCTGCGGTAGAAAAGTGGGGATGGGTGTGTGAGAGACACAGAAGGAAGTGAAAGCAGAGAGAAAAGGCGAAGAGGAAGGGCTGGGCACAGTGGGGGCCTCTGCTGCTTCTGGTTGCGCTCCCTTCTCTCTCTGTGCATCTATCTATCTATTATCTGTCTATCTATCTATCTATCTATCTATCTATCTATCTATCTATCTATCTATCTATCATCTCCTCCTTTGGGAAGAAGAAGAGGAGGAAGAGAAGACCCCCGACCCCACAGAGCTGGCAGTGGTGGGAGCATCAGATCTCCTCTGAGCCACTAGCAGGGATGGGGGGGTCACCAAGGCGAAGGCTCCTTCATCCCTCCCTCCTTCCTTCTTTTCTCCTTCTTCCACTTTCCCCCCATCCTTCATTCTAACCACCCATTCCTTCTTGCAATGGCATTGCTGAGGAACACAAAAAATGCAGAAAACGGTAACAGCAGGTGGAGGAAGGAATTAGCATTCAGAGAACGAATCACTGCAAGTGGAAGTCATGCAAATGCAATGGATCACACAGTCAAAAACAAAATTATTTTTTAAAAAATGTTCCCAGATGACCCCCCCCCCTTTTCCCCTGGCTTTTGTTTGATCCGAACATCTAGCAATGACATTGTTGGGAGGAAAGAGCAGAAAAGGAAAACAGCTAAGTAGTTGTTTAAAGGGCACACCAGCAGCAAATTTGAAAACACTCAGAGCCGGCAACTTAAGTGTGAGCACAAAAATGGCACTTGCCACTCTGTAGATGGGAAAAGCATATTCTGCCCCTCTGCCCATTGATCCCTCCCTTCAGGAAGCACCGAATCTGATCAGGAGCAAGTTCCCATTGGTGGCACCCTGATAAAACCCCTTTTTTTGTGTGTGTGGGTGTGGGGAGAAATGGGGGGGGGAATTCGATATTGGAAAACCCATGCTAAGGGGGAATTTGACATGGGCCCACCCCAATTCGCGCTGGAAAAACCTGATTCAAGTGTGAATGACCTAAGTTTAAACCCGTTTGCAAACCGATTCAAGTGTGAACAACCTCCTTTTAAACCGTTTTGCAAACCGGTTTATAATGTAATGTGAATGACCCTTAACATGGCTACATGGCTTTGAATTCTTTACCTCAGTTATGGATATGAGGGGCCATTGAGATAAATTATTGGGGGCTTCCAGAATTTGGTTTACCCTCTCTTTGAACAAAAAGCAATGTTTGCTAGAAATGCATCCATTCACTAGGACTAATAAAACGTGTTGGGTAACCATGGATGTTACCCAATAGACCCGTTACTGTGTGCCAAAAAAGACATCTTTGCCATAACAGGCTTTCACTGACATTTGCCAAACACTTGCTATTTTGTTGCATCAACCAATCCTGATTTACCATTTCTGACCTATATACATGGAAAGTAGCTTCTGTTTACAGCAGGGGTGGGGGATATGTTGCTTTCCCTCCGCACTCAGTATGATCAATTGTACAAGTTTATGGGAATGATAGTCCAAAACCTTGGGACTGCCAAATGTCTTCCATCCCTGCATTACATTATTTGGTTCATTTAATGTTTTGCAGAATTGTTTTGTGGGTTCAAATTGTTTCCGACCTATGGAGACTGTAAGGCTCCGTATCATGAGGTTTTCTTACCATGAGATTTGTTCAGAGGGGGTTTACTTTTGCCTTTGTCTAAGGTTGAGAGAATGTGACTTGTCCAAGGTCACCCAGCGGGCTTCCATGGCCGAGAGGTAATTTGAATCCTGGTTTCCAGAGTCACAGACCAGTGCTCAAACCATTACACCATGTTGGATCACAGAAGAAAGGCTGAGGTATACATTAAATACAATAAATAAATAAATAAATATAAATATGTTTCCCCAGAGTACTTGTTTCCTTTCCAGATGTTGCTGAGATGTGGTGGAAACACAGGAAAAACAGCCACATCATCCCTGCAAAAATGTGCAATTACCATGAGCCATTAGATTTGTCATGATTTGGCTCTGGAACCTGTTTTTAGCAATTGAGTTCAGGCCTCAGGACCTAGGGAAGCTCACTAAAGAGGTTTTAATGGAGGTGGCCATGTTCAGTCTTTGAAGGTACCACAGGACTCTTTGTTGCTTATACGAAAAGAGAAATGCATAGGAGCAAGTATGGAGTGTCTTCCCCGCATGACTACCAAGCCCCAGAACAGAGGTAAGGATTTCCCAGGCAAGGCCTAAGAAGCCTTGGCCCCTGATCCATTTTTACTTTTAGGGAAGAACAAGTTCTTCTTCTGATTTAAAAAAACAAAGGAGAAAAAAACTGTAGATTGTTTCAAGGGTGATAGCATTTAACTTTGGGGCAGATGTCTTTAGAGATTATCTGCTTTCTTGAAATGAACTGAAGCTTCTGCAGTAACTATCCCAGGGACTAGCGCTTCACTATGGACGTTATCACACGGGGGCAAATCTGCTGGTTAATCCAAACAAAATCCAGACCGAAACTGGATTAGTGCCCCGTGTTTTCACACGACGTCGCACAGAAACTGGACAGAAAGCGGACAGAAACACGATCTTTTGAAATTCGGTTCTTTGGAGGAATTGCAATTGCGCAATTACGTTAATTCCGCGTTTACTGTAATGTGATCGCCAAATGCGCATTGGGGAGCATTTCCCTGCTGTTGCCATGGTTCCAGCGAGCATTCCTCTATCTGCGCATGTGCAAGAGGCTCATTTCTACTACATTTATGGGATATTTTCGCTTGTGTGTGGACGTTCAATGCACTTACTGTAAATTTGCAATTAAGGTAATAACGTTTGCGGAAACAAGGTTTATTTCCCGTTTATTTTCGGCATGCCTCATTTCAAGCTTTTGAAGCTCCATTGGCATCTTTTTCAGGTAAGATGTTACAAACCAAACAGGAGAAGAACAACTGGAGATGTCAGTCAGATGCCTGCCTACCTGTTGTTTCAGTCTTTAGTTACGATGATATAGGGTGGGGAGGATTTATTTTGTAGGCAGGATCCTCCTCCTTCTGGCCCTATGGCTATAGGGAGATTTGCAAAGTCCAGGAAATTTAAAATCCATTTGCCTCTCAACAGGGACCCCTCCTTTGCAATCCAATATGTCTCTATTTCAGTAAGGCCACAGGCCTCTTTGTGGCAGAGAACAATGGATTCCTCAAGAATTTTACTCCAAGTTAAATTAAATTTGGCCCTATGCCATGATTATCCCCAAGCATTTTGACAGATGTTTTGAATTTTCAACACCAAGATGTTCCAAATGGCAGGGTCAATGTACAGGGATGCTAGGAGTGCTTGTCCAAATATATATATATATATATATATATATATATATATATATATATATATATAAAGAGAGAGAGAGAGAGAGAGAACCAAAAGTTGAGACTGGCTGCTGCCACATTGCAGAAATAAAGCAGTTTGGCATCATTTAACTTCCATGCCTCATTGCTATGGAATCCTGAAATGTGTAGGCAGCACCAGGGAAAGGGAAGGCTAAATATCTTAGAAAACTACAAATCCCAGAATTCCATAGCATGGAGCCATGGCAGTTAAAGTGGTGTCAAACTGCATTATTTCGACAGTGCAGACATTATGCTCTATTGTCTTTTCCTCTTTCTCCCAGGGGATCCTCTTTCTTTCTTTGTTTTGCAGCTGTCTTGATCCCATTGGAGAGGGGAACTGGCCACCTACTCTTCACATGTGTTTTAGTTGTGCTTTAACTTTTGTATGTTTTTATGTTAACTTTATACTGTTTTAATTAGATGATTGTAATTGGTTTGTTTTAATTCTTATGGTGAAGTTTTTAAACTGTTTTTAATCTTGTGAGCTGCCTCAAAAATAATAATAAGTATTAATAATAATAATAATAATAATAATCCATCAGTGATACCTTTTGTTAGCATTTGCTAAATGGCCAACACAGCTGCCCCTGCTTATTATTATTTCAAGCACTTTCTGGCTTTGCTTTTCCTTCTGTTGTTGTTGCTGTTTTTGCCTTTAAATAGTTTCCGACTTATGGCGACCCTATGATAGGGTTTTCTTGCCAAGGCTGGTTCAGGGCGAGGAGGTTTGGCCATTGCCCTTCCCTGAGGCTGAGAGAGTGCGACTTGCCCAAGGTCACCCAATGGGCTTCAGTGGCAAAGCCGGGACTCGAACCCCGGTCTCCAGAGTCGCAGTCCAGCGCTCAAACCACTACGCCACGCCTCCACAACCTGACCACAGCTGGCCCCAAGAGGAGGAGGAGGAGGAGGAGGAGGAGCCTAGTTTAATATGGGCCACAATGGACCAATCAGGCTCCGGCATGCAAATGAGGTCTGGCGTGTGTTTGTTTTCCTTGCCTGCTGCAGCTGCGTTCGAAGTCGGTGGCGCTCAGTGGAGCCTCTGGGACGGAGCTGTCAATCAAGAGAGGAATGGGGAAGCAGCCTTTGCAAAGAGGAGTCGGGGGGTGAGAGAGAGGAAGCGTGTTCACACGTGCTGGATAAACACGTGAGTACAAGGGGGTCAGGAGGACTCTTTCCTTCTGGAACAACCTCAAGATTTATGGGTTGCAGCACTGGCATTCTGTATAGTCCTGTTGGTACCTTGCAAACCTAGCACTGTATTATAGCAGAATAATATATTAGGGGTTTTTTTGGGGGGGGGGGAATCTTGGGACACGTTAGCTTTGCTTTCACAGGCTGCATCCACACTGCAGGGATAATCCGCTTGACACCACTTTAACTGCCATGGCTCATGGCTGTGGAATTCTGGGAATTGTAGTTTCCCAGAAGCTATGGTTGCATCCACATTGCAGGGATAATCCGCCTTAACTCTACTTTAACTGTTATGGCTGTGGAATTCTGGGAATTGTAGTTCCCCAGAAGTTCTGGTTGCATCCACACTGCAGGGATAATCCACCTTGACACCACTTTTAACTGCTGTGGCTCATGGTTGTGGAATTCTGGGATTTGTAGTTTCTGGGAATTCCCAGAATTCCATACCATGGCGCCATGGCAGTTAAAAGTGGTGTCAAGGTGGATTATTTCTGCAGTGTGGATGAGACCATAGTTTTCAAAGGAGGCACTGAACTCTGCTGTTTTTGCCACATCATAGTTACCACTTTGTAAACAGAACATCTGGACTATCATGTGGTTTTATTTTTTTGGAAACATGCTGATTTGGAGGAAAAGAAATGGTTCCTAGAATGGGATTGGTTTTGTCTAACTGGTTTTTTTCTTTAAATGCTAACTTGTTCCTGTAAATCAGTGGTTCTCAAACTTTGGTTCTCCAGATGTTTTGGACTTCAGCCCCAGAATTCTGAGTCTCAGCCAAGCTGATTAGGGCTTCTGGGAGTTGAAGTCCAAAACACCTGGAGCATCAGAGTTTTGGGACCTCTGCTGTAAATTGTCAAATTGGAGGACTTTGCTCAGGCTTATTTATTTAAGGTTCTTAGGCAAGCTCTGACAACACCTGTCATTGCTCCATTTTTCTAGGTTTTCGGTAGTTTGTAAGTTGTTGGTTTTGTTGGTGATTCCTGTTTCTACTGGATTCCCGTTGAATATTGATTGACTTTTAATGTATCTGTTTTTTTTTTTAAATGGACATCTTGTTAAATTTCCACCCACAAAGGCAGTTTAATAGTAAACCAAGGGTGACCAGATGTCCTCCTTTTCCAGGACATATCCTACCTTTCAACCGTCTTTCCAGGAGGAATTCCAGAATGTCCTCCATTTTGAGGATAGCTAAGAAGCATGAATTTACCTTTATAGGAATGTTTTTTAGCTTTTTATTTGGTCATGCCCTCCATTTTTCTTGAATGCCCTACATTTTACGGTGTCTTGTCCTCCTTTGTGGTTAGAACATCTGATCGCTTTGTAATAAATACACATATTAATTGAAATTAGAATGTTAGAAGGGGAAGAATGTAAAGAAACCAAGCAAAAATGTGAACCTTTGAAACCTGCCTTTGGGGGGTTGCACACTGCCAGAAATAGTGCAAATTGAGTCCACTTTAAGGGTTAGGGTTAGTGCTAGGGAATCATGGGAACTGTTTTTTATTGTGGCACCAGAGCTCTCTGACAGAGAAGGCTCAATGTCTCAGAAAAAAAAACACAATTCCCATGATTCCCTAGCACTAACCCTAACCCTAAAAGTGGACTCAATTTGCACTATTTCTGGCAGTCTGCAACCTAGTCTTGCATTCACATCTGTGGGGAGTATTGAACTCAGCAGGATTTACACCTGAATCAACTTGCTTAGCGATTACATTGTTGCTGCCTTTTAAACATATTCTGTTATTGATGGTCTCAGTATAAATGTTCCTGCGCAGCTTAATTTTTCATACTTTTCAGAGCTAAGCGGCCTTTTGTGATGACACAGATAAGAGAGTTCTTTGTATTACAGAATGTGGAGTCTTAAGTGCCCACAAATAAAGTTGACTTCATCATTTGCAGAGCTTGGAAAAGTTACTTTTAAAAAATTACAGTTCCCAGAATCCAAGCTTTGAATTCCTTTGTAATTAGTAGGGCTTCCATTTAATTTCCCTGATCGAGAGATTCAAGAACACAGCAGGGGTCTGAACATGATACTGTCCGCTACCGATCCGAGGTTTCTATTGAGCAGATGCCTAGCAGACCACAGACTGCTTGGAGAATAGACCACAAAAGTCTGGTTTCTTCCTTGTCTTTTGGATTACAACTCCCATTATAGCTATGCTGACTGTGGGTAATGGGATCTAAAGTCCCAAACACCTGAAAGACAAAAGATAAAGGCTAGTACAAAGGCGGTGTGGATTCCATTTCCCTTCTCCCTTAAACAGATCATCCATGTTTCCAGAGTTTGATGGCTCCAATCGCCTGTTCCTCTCTGCAGACAAGGTACAGGTGTGCTGTCCAAGCAGCAATAGGGTTTGGATGCAGTGGGTTGAGCAGATGCCTAGCAGACCACAGACTGTTTGGAGCTATTTCTCTTTCCTCCATTGGGTCCTAGAAGTTTAAACAGCATCAAATCCAGAAGGGTATACAATAAGATCCCCTTATCCGCAGGGGGTTATGTTCCAAGACATCTCCCCTGTGGATGCCTGAGGCCCCAAATAGTACCAAACCCTATATTTTGACTTTATTTTTGGGCCACAAAAATGTAGTAAAAATATTTCTAGGTCCTCCAATGCAATTCTGTGGTATGCTCGGGCCAAAAGTTGACCTCCTCGTTCTGAGGAAGTGACAAGTGGAAAGTGATCAGTTTCCCAACCTCTGCAAGGCAGCAAGTGATGAGGGGATTGGTTTTTTTTTGGACTGTGGGTAAGTGAAACTGCGGAAAGTGAATCGGCGGATAAGGGGATTTTATTGTACTTTTGCAGAAACCTGCTTTTAAGTGCCTGTCATCCTTGCAGGATCAGGCTGTCCTGGTCAAAGAGAAGACCGTTAAAGGAATGGTGCTCTCCCAAGCTTGGTTTCTGTGAGAGAAGGCATGTTTCTCCCCAGAAGTCATTTTTTGCATTTTAACCTGGCTCATAAATTTCCTCTGGGGTTTACATCTGAGCTATTGAACTCTACTCCAGCTTGGTAGTTTCTGTGTGGGAAGGAAATGACCTATTTAGGGAACAATAGGCAAGGCAAAGAGAGGGGATTTCATCAAAGTAGGGCAATAGAGTCATTAATCAGGTTGCATCTGTTGAGATCTCCTGTGTTTCAGGCGATATTGACCCTTATATATGATTAATGGGCCAGCTTGGGAAGAGTTTAGTCCCTAATCTGTGCTGTGCTTCCTGCTGTTAGTGTTACTAATAACTAACAAAGAATGTGTCCATTGATTAATCTTGCATAATAATTGAATACATTGGGGTTTTGATATTAATTCACGTCTTGCTGCTCAGATGGTAAGATGTATTTAGGCTTGGGACAAATATGGGTTGTCTGTTTTATCCACATAATTTCTAGATAGGTAATCTGCTTTTCCAAATGTATCTTGGTTTACACCACTCTCTCTTAAGCTTGATTTGGGGCACAATCCTATAAAAATGTCCTGGGAGTAATGCCCAGGGGACACAGTGAGTCTCCCTTTTGAATAATCACATATAGGATTGGGTTTAGCCTATTTAAGATATGTTTCAAATGTTGGAAGTCTTAAAGTAAATGCCTGGAATCTCATTTTACAGTGCCCCAAGAAGTATATTCTAAATGGTTGACATGTCCCCAGATAGGAAATAGTGATTTGATTGATCTGTAAAGATTAGAAAACAAAGATTAATTCATACAATTATATTTTTCCCCTTGGGAGCTGATTCTTGAAGTGGCTAGGTGGTTGTTCTGTGTTTTCAAATTGACTCCGGCTTATGGCAGCCCTCTTCTAGGGGTTGCCTTTGCCTTCCTCTGAGCTGAGAGAATGTGACTTGTCAAAGATCACCCAGTGGGTTCCCATGTCAGAGCAGAGATTCAAACTGTGGTCTTCCAAAGGAGTACTAATCCAGCACTCAAACTGCTGCACCACGTTGCCTCATGGTGGTTAGGTAGTGAGAATCAAATGGATTCTAGATTGTCAAGTAGTAGGCAACAAAGATTTTTATGAAACATCAAATGCATGGTGGATCCCTTCCTATTCCATTAGATTCCCACTGTAGCTCCAAAAGCCAATACTGATTAGGAAAACAAATAAATGAAAATATAGTCTGAATCTACTGTTAGATGTAGCATCCTCTTTTAGATGGATTGGCTCATCTTATAAATTACAAATTATGACTGGTGCCATATCAAGTAGCTTAGTGTAGAATTTCTCAACTCCATCCCATGAGTCAAGAAGAAGGCAATGAATTCAGAAGCTTGAATCTAATGCATACCATTCCAGGGATGAAGTGGGGGTGGAGTGTAAATTATGGCTGATATCGTGAGACATCATGGCTCATTACAAAGCAATAATGTTTGGTAAACCACATTACATGTGGATGGACTCAGTCTGGGAAGCCATAGCCTCGAGTCTGCAGGACCTGAGCAGGTCTGTTGAAGACAGGATGAAGGAGGACTCTCATTCATAGGGTCACTGTAAATCAAAGCTGGCTTGACTGCAGTCAGCAACAATTTCATGTAGACTTCTGGTATCAGATACCAGCTAGAACAGCTCCAAATGTGCCATTGTGACTATATATAATAAGGCAGCATGTAGATAACCCTATGAATTGTTTTGCCAGCACACCCACATATTAGAATGATTTAATACTAAGCTGAAAGACAATA